GGTTCAATCCCCCAGCACCACATGCCAGCCAGCCCTGCCCCCTGGTGGGCTGAGCTGGCCACACACACACACACACACACACACACACAAATAAATTTAAAAAAAAAATTAAAAAAAAAAAAAAACTGAGGGAGGGGCCGGAGAGATGGCTCAGTGGAATAAGCGCTTCCCTGGCAAGCACAAGGCCCTGAGTTCAATTCCCGGTTTTGCAAAAAAAGAAAAAAAGAAACTGAGGATGTGCTGAAGCAAAATGATTGTGCAGCCGAGGGAAGCAGGAAGAGAACGGCTTGTTCACCCAGCAAAGGTCAGCCTGCACAGAGGCTGACACCCATTCAGACTGGGGCAGGAGGGCAGAGGGCTCAGGCGGTAGGTCTGAGTGAAGAGAACATGATCAAATACTTGGCCAGAAGAATCACTTGAAGAAACACTATGATAAAAACAAAGGGTGTAAGAAAAAGGCAATGAGAAGTTCTGGGATTAACAAAAGGCTGTTTAGGAAAGAAAAGTAATTACAGTAATTCTCCTGGCTCTGTAGTGAACAACAGTCACAATAAAGTAGAACGCATGCACCAAATCTCAATTTTTAGAGTCAATATATAAACTATTTGGGAAACATGATTAGGATTATAGGATGATATAAATGTTACCAATCTCGACATTTTTAAAAAATATGGGTTAGAATTTTGGGAGGAAAAAAGCAAGTAGGAAAACTAATGAGAAGGGTAGAAAAGAGCACTAAAAACATTATCTTACTTTTAAAAGTGGATGAAAAGGGGCCAGGGAGACAGCTTAGTGGCACAAGTACCTGCCTGTCATGCACAAGGTCCCGAGTTCAATCCCTGGTACCACAAAAAAGAAAAAGTGGATGAAAAATAAAAATCTAAGTATATTTGACTTACAAAGGAGCAGCAGCCTGAAACTGACCATAGCAGCATAGCACAGCAGTGGCATTCAGGGCCACCAAGGCGAGCCCACGTGCTTGGACATGGGCTACTGGGGCTGCTCGGAGGCCTGGTGTGGTAGGGAGCAGCCGGGCCGTCTGTGGGGACCCTCGCTCGTCACCAGATGACCTGCGCAGCGCTCTTGGGCCCCCTTTATGTGACCCTTAACAAAGCTGAAAGTGCCGATGCCCCAACTCCAGCGGCTGCCGGCGCATTCCTTCTGGAGGTGCCCGGATGAAGCATCCTCGGCCTGGGATGCCTCCCCCGCAGCTCTTGGGTCTCTAGAGGACTCTGGGTGAGCGGCTGCTCGGGAGGTGGCCCTAGTCCTCCTGCTGCACCCTCACCCTAAACCTTTGGGGGCATCTGAGGGGCTCACTTTACATCTCTATCAGGTGGGTGCTCAGCAAATGTCTTTGCAGAGAAACAAATTCCTACCTTATTCCATCAAACCCTGGGATTTATCCCATATTTTTTATCTTTCAAATTTTGAGACAAGGTCTCACTAAGTTGCTTGGGCTGGGCTTGATGTAGCAATCCTCCTGCTTTCGCCTCCCCAGTCCTGGGCCTGTGCCATCAGGGGCTCCACACTTCTCAAGTCCACACCCTGTGCATTCAGACTCTAGCAGGGCAACTGGGCTCTGCAGGCCCAGGGGACCCCCTTGCCCACTGTTCAGCTCTTGAGCCCCCTCTCCCTTTTCAGCCTCAGTCCTCAGTGCACTAGCAACGAAGGTCGGTTTTGCAGCTTCCTGATCTTCCCAGCTCTGTTGCTGATTTTGGCTGCAGCTTTGTCCCATCTACTTGCTAGCCTCCCAGCACTAGAGCCCAATCAAACAAACCTAGGCCTCCCTCCTCTCAGAGGAAGCAGCATGCTGCTGCTCAGAGCAGGCCTGGCTGGCTCCAAGCCCTGAAGCCTCATGACTGTGCCATCTGAAAGGCTGGCCTCCGCAGCCATGTCCCTCAGGCATTTCAACTGCTTCTGGCTAGGCAGACTCCAGGTGGCCTCAGAGGTGCAACATGGTCCTGCCTCTTTCTTTTCTTGGTGTCCTGCTCCTTTGCCCTGATTTCACAGGGCCTTCTGTGCCTTGGTGTCGCTGTATATTTCCTATAGCTGGAAAGCAGTATCTAACACTGGAAAGCGTGACTCAAATCTGCCCGCTTCCTCTTCTGCAAACCGAGCCAACCAGCCTATGTCTGGACTCAGTTTAGCCCACTTCAGCTGGCCTGAGAGAGAGGGATAAAGGGCGCAGAAGGGGTTTAAGACACCCGTGGAACCAGGGGCTGGGATTCGAGGCTCTCTACTGGCTGCTGCGTGTCACATATTTAATACTGGCTCAAGTCCTGAGAGAGACGGTCCCAGGAAAAGTCATTTCAGTGGTGATCTTAGGCCCGTCTGAGAAGGCAGGACCCTCGCACAGAGGAGCAAAACTAGATCACACACAGGGAGCGCACGAGACATGGACGCGCTCTTCCGCGCATGCTCCACGCACCAACACGCACTAGACGCGATTTTCCGCGATTATCTGCCGTTTGGGACAATCCATGAGCTATTTCCAGGGCACAAGACACTGTCTGGTGTGCAGAGGACCACAGGATGCTCTGAATTTCTCGCCAAGGGCGAGCACGTGTGCGGTGCGCACAGCAGCGCTCCCCGTGGCTGGGGCGGCTCGGCCCGGTCGCCCTCCTGCCCGCCACGCGTACTCCGTACTCCGCTACGCCCCCGCCCAGCATGCCCCCACCTGTGCGCCCCATGCGGGCCGCGGCTGTCTCGTCGGGGTACCCGTTGGTGGCTGCTGCCCCTCCGCCTCCAGTGCGCTCTTTGCTTGGGGCGGAGGGCGCTGGCGGAGCTGAGGACACCGACGCCTGTGAGGTTGCTGCCTCTGTGACGTCCGATGGCCGGGCCCTTGCTGCTGCCACGGGCATCTATGCAGGTTCTGGGCACAGGGTCACTACCGGACTCCTCTGCCAGCCAGCGGCTGCGGGAGACAGCACAGCACCCTCTTTGCCGGCCCTGCTCTGGAAGGTCGACTTGACCTGTTTGGTGGCTCGGAGGGCAACTTGACTGCTCCCCACCTTGGCCAAGGTTATAGGCCTTGGCAACGTGGGGAGTGGGTGCCCTGTCTCCGGACCTTAAGACCCACCACAGGCCCAGGCAGGCCAGAAAGGGGCTTGGGCCCAGAGACTTTTTTTAAAAAAAATTTTATGTGTGTGTGTGTGTGTGTGTGTGTGTGTGTGGCCAGCTCAGCCCCCCAGGGGGCGCGGCCCGCTGGCATGTGGTGCTGGGGATTGAACCGCGCTCCCTGTGCTTTGCTAAGCTTGTTCTAAGTAGGTGCTTTAGACCACTGAGCCATCCCACCAGCTCCCAGAGACTTTCATTTATCAACACCGTTTTATTCCTCACAGTCCTCCGCAACCCACATGTTGCAGTGAAGGGTGGCCCCTCAGCTAGGCCCGGCGCATTGGGTGCATTCAATGGAGCAGTCTGTTCTCACAGAACAGCTGGAGACAGTCCACCTTGGCACGGTGGGGAGAAACGTCTCTGATTCACAGTTGATTTAATGCTACATGAGTCCTGAGCAGCTGCCCGGAGCAGAGGGGACAGTGCTCGACTCTAGTCTGGAGGCCACGTGTGCACACTTGTGACCATGGCCCTCCCTACCCTGGCCTGGTGTGCCATGCAGAGCCACGGCCATCCTGGCAGGCAGCCGGGAAAGTGCTTTGGGGTCACCAGATTGCGAAGTGTGGCTGGCAGCAGTCCCCATGCCAAGGGAGGGCAGACCAGTGCGAGTGGACGAGGGTAGTAGGCAGGGCATCTGCACCTGCCGCTCTGTAGCAGCCACCACCCCATCTGCGGGGCACTCTGCACTCACAGGTGCGGAAGCTGAGCACAGGGGCCAAGCACTCTGTGGAGCAGTAGTGGCCAGCTGTGGGTGACGTGTGCTGAGCTTGGGGACCAAGAACTATCTCCTGCCACCACCTCTGGTCCCTGGCCTAACTGCAGGTCGACTCCAGACCTGTGCCGTGACAGCTCTTGGAGGCGGCAGTTCTACTGAGGACCTGTGCCAGACCGAGCCCCTCCCTCTCTACTCCATCCCAAAGTGGGTGATGGTCAGGGTGGCCAGGCTAGGGGCTGAGGTGCCCACAAACCCAAGGCTGGGCCCACTGCTGCCCTGGCTGGTGGGGGGGGCATAATGCAAGTCCTCCTGCCTCCGTCTCTGCACATGGAGGGCAGGGCACCAGGCTCAGTTGAGAGGCCTGGGTGGCACTTCACTTGCTCCCAGGGTACAGCAGACCTCAAGTAGCTGGCCCGTCGGGGGCAGCACCAGGCACTGAGGACACTGCCTTGTCGGCAGGGGCAGGTGGGGCTACGGCCTGTTCTCCAGCTGGCCGTGCTTCACCCTCCAGCTCCAGGCGCAGCTGCTGTCAGGGGCCAGGGTGCACCGCAGGTCAATGCCCGAGTCTGGCACCTCCATGTCACAGTGAACAGGCTTCCCGTCGTGGGTCACCAAGCTGAAGGCTGTGGCTGGGATCTGGGGTGGAGCAGATGGAGCACTGATATGCTCAGCAAAATAGAAAGGCACCCAGCCACAGTCCCACCACACTGGGGGCACCTCCCTCAGGTACTGGGTGGCCCCAGGCCCTGCCTTCCACTTGGAGGACTGCAGATGCCACCCCACCCATCTTGCCAGTCTTGCCTCAGGATGCAGGGGGCAGTAGAGGCTGTACCTGCTCCCTGGGCTGGCATTTCCAGGGCTCTGAAAGCACCTGCCTCACCTGGCTGCTGATGCCAGTTGCAATGTCTCCCACTTTGGCCCGGTGGAACTCTCGGATGTGCAGATGTTCCCCGTTGAGAGACTGTATTTGGACTCTCACACCTAGAGGTGGGCAAAGTGATGGGAGAGCAGCTGTCACCCCTGGGAGGAGGGCCTGTGGAGTCCCTCACAGCTGAGGCTGCCGAGAGGAAGCAGTGAAGTAAACGCCATGCAGCCATGGCCAGCTTCACACATCTGGGGTTTCCTGGCTGCAGCCCTGGGGTCTGTGCTGCTTATTGCCAGCGGAGTCAGAGTACCCACACTAGAGGTGCCGGGGATTGAACCTGGGGTGTCATGCAAGCTAAGGCTGCTTGCTGCTAGCTGGGGCAGCTGCTGGGCGCAGTGGAGTTCCAGCCCAAGTACAAAAGAGAGGGACTGAACACAGGGACTGAAGACCCTGTACCACTCTTCACTCTCCAAAGGAGTGGCTTTGGTCCAGGCCACGGGCTGCTGGCATCAGTCATGCCAACCCAGGGAGGCTGCGATCTGTGAGCCCATGAAGCCCTCATCTACCAAAGCCATACACAGCCCATGCACCCAGCTCAGCACCAGCCTGGGTGCTGTCATCTTCATTTTTTGACCTCCACTGGGGAGGTAGCCAACAACCTGCTGCCGTCTTATGGATGACAACACGTGGGCTCAGGAGTCCTGTTCCTTTCTTTTCTCCTCAGAAGACACTAACTCCTCAGTCTTGCCTCCAGGCCAGGAGAGTTGCTCTCCTCCCTAGCATGGGGCTGCTGGCATGCCATTGGAAGCCAGTGGCCTCACAATGGTCCTGTTATTCCACTGTCTCCTGGGGCAGGGATCTCGCCATCTGGGTCCCAGCTGCCTCCCTCTCTTCCCTTCAGGGAGACACAAATCCATGACCCCAGTCCCAGGCTGCTCGACAACGTAGGGCTGCTGGGCTATACCGTTGAAGTAGCTAGGGGTGTCAGCAGGCCGCCCCCAGGCCAACACCGTGCTGCAGCTGGAACTCCGAGCCTCTGCCTGGCTGCCCCACGAGTGGACGCCGGAGCTCAGGGTGTCCCTCGAGCTCTGAGAGGCCTTCGATGGGTTCTGAAACAGAGCAGGCTCGGGCTTAGGGACCATCACTGGGCTTGTCTTCCTCAAAGGAGAGGAGATGGGCTCATTGGGGGTGTGCACAGGGCAAGGCCTATTTCCACTGAGGCCAGAGGGTCTCCCACTGTGCCAGCAACTCAGCCCCTTTCCTCTTTTGGGCACACTGTTGCACCCTGAACCCTGCCTCCTCAGCGAGGACTCTCCAAGAAGGGAGAGCAGGCTCTGTCCAATAAATAATTGCCCACAGCCCATTCTCCAACCTGTACCCAGGCCAAGAACCCAGCATCCAGGTCCCAGGCGGCTTACCTCACTGCTGTCTGACAGCGAGCGGCTGTCGATGCTGAGACATGAGAGAATCTGCTCCTGTTCCTCTAGAGAGAAAGGCTGGGACAGGCTGTTGAGAAACAATTCTGCAGAAAGAGGGGAAGACAAGGTAAAGACTGGCAGAAGGCCACCATGCAGGAGGGCCCAGCAGCTGACCCACAGGGAGGCCAGCGGAGCCGGCTGCTGCAGAGCGCGGCTGCTGCCCTACCTGTCTCCAGCTGCTGCAGCTCCAGCTCGGGGAGGGCTGCTCTGTGCCCCGGTGAGCTGGGGCTCCTCGCTGGGGCCGGGTCCAGGGAGCACAGAGGCAAGGCTTCCCAGGGACCAGAGTCCTCCTGGCTCAGGTTCGGAGCGGGAGACTCCTTCTGCTCTGGGGGCTCTGGCGGCAGAGGTGGATGAACTGTCAGGGCTGAACCCATGTTGCCATCCGGGGGTGAGCACTCCTGCAGCTGGGCGTGTGGAGTCTGGGGGCAGGCGGCCTGGCCTTGCAGTGGGCGTCTGGGCTCCTTGTATTCTCCCCTCCAAGGGCTCCTCAGACCTCCCACTGTAAGAGAGCACATGACATGGGCCTTGGGTGGCAGTGTGGCAGTCTCCTGAGGGGGCTGTGCCAGGAATGGCATGTTTCTGTCCTCCTACTTCCCTTCTACCATCTACAGTCAGCTCCAGGGGACACTGTTAGTGGGAAGACCGGATGTGGCCGCAGCGTCGTGGGAGCAGCTTGGGGTGGCAGCTCACCCATGTGGGCTGGGTCCCAACTCTGCAAGAACAACAGTCCAGAGACAGCGCCACTCTATTTCTGCAGTGCCGACCGGTGCCGTCCTTGCTCTCTCCTGTTCGGTTATTTCCTTCACTCCCGTACCCACCGCCTTCCTCCTCTAGGGCACCATCCACTGTGCTCCACGTGTCGCCTGATCTGACTGCACATCAACAATGTGCTCTCGGGGCTGGAGAGATGGCTCAGTGGTCTAAAGCACCTACTTAGAACAAGCTTAGCAAAGCATCGGGGACCGCGGTTCAATCCCCCAGCACCACATGCCAGCCAGCCTCGCCCCCTGGTGGGCTGAGCTGGCCACACACACACACCTCTCTCTCTCTCTCTCTCTCTCTCTCTCTCTCTCTCTCTCTCTCTCTCTCTCTCTCTCAAATAAATAAAAATTAAAAAAAAAATTGAAAAAATAAAAACTAATTCTTGGGAGGCTGGGGAGATGGCTCAGTAGAATAAGCACTTGCCTAGCAAGCACAAGGGCCTCAGTTCAATCCCCAGTTCTACCAAAAAAAAAAAAAAACAAAACAAAAAAAAAAAACAATGTGCTCTCACTGCCTGGCTTCTAATTTAAAGCAGCACATTGTGCTCTGGGTGTCTCCTGTTGGTTCCTCTTCCCCAGCTCTGCGGCTTCTGACCAGGCCCTGTTGCTCTCAGGGTTTAAATGCTGGTGGTACCCATCCCTACCGCTTCCCTCTCACCTCTCCTGTGGGGAGGCGCCCAACTGCAGCAGCCCACAGCAGCAGGGGTCCACAGGTGCACGGGGCCTCATGTGGCACTAGCATCCTCTGCAGTGCACCAAGAGTGGCAGGGCTGGGTCTCAGGGGTCCCACTGCTCTCAGCCCCATCAGTACTTGCTGTGCCAAGGTTCTGACTTTTCCTACTGTCTAGTGGTACCTGGCTTCATTCTGCACTCTAATCCCTAATGGATTTGTGTCCCCTAACCATGCCCCAGCACCTCCACCTTCTGGGCCCCCTGTCTACCATGGAAAGCCCTCCTTCTGCCCCACCCAGGAATGGCCAGCTGGTGCTCACCTTGCTGCAGCGCCCCACACACCCTCCCCAGCAACTCCTTGGCTGATGCACGGTGGACAGGCTCCTTCCTCAGCCCCTCCTGGATGGCCTGGGCTGTGAGAGGGGCACAGGAGGCTGGGATCTCCTTCACAGGCGGAGGTTCACGGGCGATCTGGGGGCCGAAAGACAGCATTCGGGCCCTATCTCCTGCTCAGCACCCTGCCTTCTGTTCTGCCCTCCCACTGACACTGGGCCACCATCTGCCACTTAGCCAGGCACTGGAGGGATCTGGATTGGACAAGGCTTGGCTTCTCTTTGAAAGGGAGCCTGTTGGGAGGCAGGTGGAGGTGGCCCAAGTCACAGGCAGGAAAGGGCTTGTGCCTGCCGTAAGTGGGGACACCTCTTAGCTGGGGGATCTGCATTTTAATCAGGATCTTGCATTTATGACCTGGCTTTCCCCGGCTTAGGCCCTCTCAAGTCTGTAGCACCCACCAAAGCCCACTGGCTTCTCAGCCCTGCTGTTCTGAAAGCTGACCTTGAGGCAGAGCGGCCCTCGGAAGTACTGGGTCCAGGGGTGGCAGCCGTTGAGCATGTGTAGCATCATGCAGCAGCTGCTCCACACATCCACCTTGGTGTCACAAGGCTTCCCCAGCACCACCTCAGGGGCCATGTGGGTCTCCGTGCCGGGGATGGAGTCACCTAAGGCCAGGGGGAGGCAGAAGTAGCACTGTGAGGTGGGGCAGGAGCCTGCGAAAGCCCACTCCTGTCAGCTCCTGCAGTTCCTGCGCTGCTCACAGCAGGCACATTTCACATTGAAAAAGGAAGCCTCCAAGTGGAGTCCATGGGGCTCACTCAACCAGGCTCGGAACTGGAGCAGAGCACATTTCAGCCACAACAAAGGCTCGGCTGTAACATGGAATGGGCTGGATGCTGGCAGCTCAACTGAGGAAGGTAATTATTGTTATATGTTTCAGGAATACTAGTTACGTGGAAAAAACCCCACCAAAACTCCAAAAATAAACAAAAATGAATAGCAGAAACTTTTATGCATAAAAAGATAAGAGATGTTAACAATGTAATTTTTCTGGTGATTTGTGTTTTAAGTTTTTGGTCAGCTCTATTTTCTTCAAACGATATGAGAAGTTGTTTTTGTACTATAACACTAAAAAGCCCTCTAAAGCCACTATAAGGTAGGAGTCAGGGGTCCATGTTGGTTTGCAGCACAAGCCTTTAACAACACACCCACGTTTGTCCCCACTGCACGCCCTTGCCTGACGTGCTGAGGGCCAGAAGTGCTCTGGGTTCCTATGAAGTGGAGTGTTCCTATGTAGCCAATGCTGTGCCCTGGCACAGGCACACACAGGACACTTATTTATGTGTTGCACACACTTTACACACAGCCCACAATAATTTTTACAGTGTTTTTAGTGTGCTTGAGTTCTGACTGAAGCTTCTCATGAACTCAGGTATGGAATTGTCACATGGATCATGTCAATGTTCAAAACATGCAGATTTTGGAGCATTTAGATTTTCCTGTTAGGGATGTTCAATCTGTACTTCTATTTTTTTTTCTTTTCGGAACCTGGGATTGAACTCAGGCCCTTGCGCTTGCCAGGGAAGCGCTTATTCCACTGAGCCACCTCCCCGGCACCTCAATCTGTACTTCTAAAAGACTGCTTTTCTTATGGTCAAAACAGAACCACTTTGTGCTTAACACTATCTATACATGAAGAAAACAGGGCATGAAGTTGTATTATAATGGGCTAAACCAGGCACAGAAAAAAACCATGAAATCTATAAAGTAGGCACAATCAACTTTCTGGGCAAGAGGAACGTGAGAACTTTTTCCTTTTATACCACTTTGCACCATATTTAATGGGTAGATTATGTAAATATTCAGAATAATGGAAGTTAAAAAGGCTTTCACCACACAGTGCCTTGCCTTGGGGAGCAGAATGGGGCACCAGGGTCTGTGACTCCACCAAAGCCCAACAAGAGCCCGTGTGACCAGCACACATGCCACCTGCTCCACAGTTGAAGGCACACCAGTGAAAGCCACAGTGTGGCTTTACCTGTGAGCAAGGACTTCCCCACGCCACTCGGTCGCAGGCACACAGCATGGCCAAAGTCACAGAGGGCTGCGCGGTTCCCATCGCTGGACAGGAGCACGTTGTCAGCTGCAGGTGGATACCCGACACAGGAGGAAGGGGACAAGTGAGTTACATGGGACCTGGCTCACTCTGGCTCACTGTGGTCTCCAGCAAGCCAATTTTCTGGTTGATCCTATAAGACAGCTACTACTTCTGGTATCTCCTCAGTCACAGAATGAGGTGTGGGGGTGGGGCAGGAGCAACACATTGCTACTTCACTCTGCTACCCCATTCCATCCAGGGGTCCAGCCAGGTGAGCTTGGACAATGCCACTCCCTTCCCATAGGCACAGAAGTCAGATCAGGACTTGCTGCCAGGAGACCTGACCAGGCAGGAAGGCAGAGCAGCCATAGGGACCAGAGCCTCACCTTTCACATCTCCGTGCAGAACCCTTCGTGCATGCAGGTACTCTAGCCCCTCTAATGCCTGGCCCAGGTAGAAGAGGGCCCGGTCCTCTGGTAGACAGCCCTTCTGCTTTATGAGCTGGCCCAGGGAGCCACCTAGGAGACACAGGCAGAACACATGGGGCTTTCCCAACCACCATGAGCTGAGGGCAGGACGAGGAGAGGCTGAGTGTGCACTGGCTAGACAGCAAATCAACCTTGGCAAAACTCAGGGAGCAAGAGTGGCACTGACTCTACCTTCTAGCAGCTCCATGAAGATGTTGACCCAAGGACCTTCCCTCACTGCGCCGTACAGAGGGACGATTCGGGGTGAGTTCAGTCCTGCACATGCCATCAGTTCTTCTGCTCGAAACACCTCAACTCGTACCTGAAAGCGCCCAGAGGTGGTTTGAGTCAGGGTAAGGGGCCAGCTGGGTGCCTGCTATACTACTGGGACCTCGTTGCTCCATACGCAGAGCTGGGCTGCTCCTGGGATAATGCTCAGGCTGCATGGAGCCAGGTGATGCTGGCCTGAGGGACAATGGTTGGTGTCGGGGCAATGCTCACGACTGAGGTTTCACAGCACCCTTTCCACTGTGGGAGCTACACTGCTTGAAGCCTCCGGGCATACTGTTGCTCTGAGGTGCCCAGTGCAGGACCTCGTTCCCCAGCCGGGGCGCTGCACAGGTCAGCACCCATGTCTCCTCAGAAGCAGGTTGTTTCCCATGTGCCAGGTACCTCTGGTCCCCAGTGTCCTTTCAGTATTTTTCTTAATTTCCCCACCATCTGGGAATGAATGTGGTTACTGGGGAGGTTTCGCTGGGGCCACTTGTGCCATGCACTGCAGGACTGGGGACATCTGCAGCTTTTTGCAAGGGCCAAGCAGCTTGGCATGGTGGGGAAGTAGGCCTTGGACACAGGCATCTTGGGCTTAGATCCAGGCTTGGCTATTTAAAATAAAGCTGCATGTGTCACTTCCAACATGTTACCATATGTGAATGGTGGGGCCAATGGCCTCTGCCCGAGGGTAGCACAGCCAGTGCCCGGCTGGCCATCAGCAGACATAACAGAGCCAACCACAAGAATGTCAGAGATTGGCAATCAGTTTAGAGACTTCCTGACTGTGCAAACTGGAGTTCTGATGTAGAGAGGCCTTGGGACTTCTGCTGATCAGTGGAAAATGTCTCTCTGGTTAGAAAATACCTGGTTTATTTAACCAATTCATATGAACCTGGACTTTAATCTGCTTCCAGCTTTCAAAGGCACTGATTTGATGAGAATGATTCACTAACAGCGCTTGCACTGTCAGTGTCTCCAGTGGGATGGTGCGAGAGTATGAAGCACCCCAGGGCCCTGCAGGCTAATCCTGCATGGGAGAGAGACCAGCTCCGCCTCTCCTGCAGGCCATCTGGCGCCTGCTCAGTGCTCAGCATGCTGTACTCGCTGGACGGGATGTGTTCAGGAAGCTGCGACGGCGCTGGGGCGAAGTCGTCTGGGCTGACTTCAAGGCTTGCGAAGCTGCACCTGTGCTCTGTCAGCACTTCGACTGTCTAAGAATGGAAGGTTTTCCTTTCAACTTATGTCTTGATTTTTAAAGGGGTGACAAAGTTCAGAATAAAGACACCACTTGCTCTAAATAAATGGAACTGCTGGAGGTTTGGCTTGGTCTGCAGTGCTGTGGAACACTGAAGATGCTAAGGGCTGGGAACAAGGCAGGGCGGGAGTCTTTATCTTAACATGGAAGAGACCTGTGTCTCGGCAGCCCTGAGACAGTTGCAGCACCTCCACTGAAAGGGGGCTGACTAGCCCAGGAAACCTCCAATGGCAGGCTTCTGGGGTCTGGGTGAGCTCCAGGAAGCAGGTGAAAGGGTGCTGAGGAGTCGGAGCAGGGGCCCTGGCCTCCAGCTCCCTGGAGGAGGGGCTGGCCTGGGGCGGGCACGCTCACGTGACCAACTGACACAAGCCAGGCACGTGTGCAACGTTCTCTAAGCCTCAGCTGGACATCGTGGGGTGGTCTCACCACTGCCACTCCAGATGAGGTAGCAAGCCTAGACTTCTGGGCTCGCTGGGGTAGAGCCTCGTACCAGGTTTTGGGCTGAAGGTCAGAGTCCAGAGCTGCCCCCACTGCCTCCCTAGAACAGCTTCCAGGCTTAGCCACTACCTGTGGGTTTGTGCATACACACACAGGAAAGAATCCCTGGATTCACACATGTGGACAGTGCTCAGCCCACTGGCAGATCCACAAGCCACCTTTCCACTCATTTGCCTACATGATTACTCTTTTTTTTTTTTTTTTTTTTT